AGTATGAATAAAAGAATAAATTCCAGTCGTATTAATGATGTAGCTTGATGTCAGATCATATAAATAGTTGTATGTACATAATAATATTGGTGGATAAACTAAATAAAATAAATTATCGTCAAAATTGATGCTATAAAGAAATTACAGTTTGTAATTTAAAAACTATCTTTAATAATTAAAAAATATATGGTAAACCGATAATAAATTATAATTTTAGGTACGTGTATATATAAAAATTTCATTTGAACAAAAGCAACACGAAAATATAAGTAACAAACGCTTCAAATTTATAATGTTACAGTTTACAAAATTAAATTATTATCAAAGAATAAAGAATAAATATTACCCAACACTTACATTATATGAAGGCAAATACAAAATTATACAGGGTGTCCCATTTTAATTAATCACTTCAAATATCTCTTAAACAGTGTATTTTAAGGAAAAATATTTGAGACAAAAGTTTTGGGGACATAAGATCGTGCCATTAGTTTGATTTTGGATGGCGTCGTTAAGGTCAGGGCAAAGTTACTTCGAATTTTTTAAACGGAACTTCCCATTTTTCATTACGTATTCTTGTAGCTTACTTTGAAAGCTTTCTAAAACACTGTAATTAAGTTTATTTTCGTTAAGTACTTTTCGAGTTATAAGGCTTGCAAGTTACAACACCGCAGGCATTAGCATTACGCAAGATGCCCGACCGACGGTTAAAACCTCTTAAATGTTGTTCAGGATCATGTTCTGAGTAACATTTGTCAAATTCAAAGTCATTGGAAATTGTACCTCTTATTTTTATTATGATATAGGAATGAATTTTTAGTGCAAAAATAAAAATAAGAGGAACAATCTGCAATGACCTTGATCTTGACAAATATATCCAGGTCATCCTGAACAACATTTAAGAGATTATAGTCATCGATCGGACACCTTGGGTAATGCTACGAGGCAAGTCAATAAGTTTTTAGAAAAACATAGTAAAACACATTTTTTTGATCGATTCATTTTTATTTCTCAACATAGTCTCCTTCCAATTCGATACACTTGATCCAACGATTCTCCAACTTTTTCAAGCCGTCCGAATAATATGATTTGTCCAACCCTTCAAAATAAGCCTCTGTTTCGGCGATGAGCTGCTCTCTGGTGGTGAATCTCTTTCCTCCGGACCATTTCTTCAGGTTTGGAAACAGAAAATAAGTCTAAGAGGGCTAAATCTGGCGAATATGCTGGATGGGGAAGCAATTCGTAGCGGAATTCGTTGAATTTAGACATCGGTGCTGGGCACTGGTGTGAACCCGTGCATTGTCTTGATGGAAGAGCACTTTCTTCTTCGCCAAATGAGGACATTTTTTCTTTAAAATGTTGTTGAAATCGGTCCAATAAGGCTGTGTAGTAATCGCCATTGATCGTTTGCTTCGACGGAAGGTAATTGATATTATATGAATTATACCGTGTGCATCTCAAAAAACTGTGGCCATCACCTTTCCGGCCGTCTTCACGGTCTTCGCCTTCTTCGGAGCTGGTTCACCCGGTGTCCATTGTTTTGACTGTTCCTTCGTCTCGGGAAGTAATGGATCCATGTTTCGTCCACAGTAATGAATCGATGCAGAAATTCATCTGGCTTACGTTGAAATATCTCCAAATATTGTTTTTAAATCGTCACACGGTCGCGTTTATGATCCACAGTGAGCAAACGCGGCATCCATCTTGCCGATACCTTTTTCATATCCAATTGTTTGTGCAAAATTAAAATCACTGTGCCATGTGATATGCTTGTGGCCTCAACAAGCTCGCGCACTTTCACTCGTCGATCAGTCAAAACAATATCGTGGAGTTTATCCATGATTTTTGGCGTAGCAGCCTCAATTAGACGTCCCGAACGAGGTGCATCACATGTGGATGTACGACCACGTTTAAATTCATTCACTCAATTGTATATAATCGCAAACGCTGGTGCAGATGTGCTATCCAACTCGGCTTTGATTTTTTTCGGCGTTAAACCTTTCATAGTAGATGTTTGATCACTGCACGAAATTCGTTTTTTTCATTTTGCAAAAAATACAAAGGTTGTTCGCTTTAATCGTCTACAGAAATAAAACCACGTGATAAATTCCGCTCAAAATTTGGCAGTAATCAACTGAAAGATGCTACTTGTCAAGAAGTAATGTGACATGATACTGCGAGTGCCCTCTGACAGATTTTCTAGGAACTTATTGACTTGCCCTCGTAATACCGGCGGTGCTGTAACCTGCAAGCCTTATAACTCAAAAAGTACTTAATAAAAATGAACTTATTTATAGTGTTTTGGAAAGCTCTTGAAATAAGCTACAAGAATACGTAATACAAAATGAGGGATTCCGTTTAAAAAATTCAAAGTAACCTTGCTCTGATCTTGACGATGCCATCCAAGGTCAAACCAATGGCACCATCTTATGTACTCCTCAAAGTTCAAAAACTGTTATTGGAAACATTTTTCCTTAAAATGCACTGTTCAAGAGATATTTGAGGTGATTGATTAAAATGGAATACCTTATATATAATGGTAAGTTAGCATGAATCTATTACAAATGTAAAATATATAGGATTTAGATCGCTTATATTCACTGATTCAAGACCGATCTTAACTGTGAGAAAATATAAACGCAAACAATATTATTTGTATGTCAAAAAGTCAGAAGACAAAAGAATTAAGCGCTGCTTTTGTTATTATTAAAAATTTAATTTAATACATAAACGTATATGTCATCTAGAGATTCAATGTCTTTTTAAAAATTTATATCATTTAACTATTCTTTTATATGTAGTGTTTTCGAAATGATCTTTTATTATAATTTGATTCCGTATCCATTATTCTAACATTCTTCCAATCAAAATTATGATTATATTGTAATATATGTTCCGTTATAACTAAATGCCTAGATGAGTCAAGCTTTATATTTTTAATATGCTTATTTATTCTGGTATTGAGTTTCCTCTTCGTCTGTCCCACATAAGAAACGTCACAATTGTTACATTGGATCTTAAATTACATTATTATTTTCAGAAATTACTTTTTTGTCTTTATGCGCTTTTATAAATTTGTTCAATTTGTTAATACATCTGTAACCTATACTATACACTGATTTATTAATCATACGTATGGCTGATTGTGTGACTCTGTGGAGGATAAATAGAAGTACAAAAAACTTTTTCTTGTTATAAATTACTTTATTATAATATATTGGCAAGAACGTTGTTGTCATTTTTCTTGCGTAGAATTTTTGTTGAGAGCATCTTTTTTATTCTTGTATTGAACAGTTTAAATATTAAATCTAACGGATATTCGTTGTTTTAAAGAATATGAATGCACATTTCTAAATTTTTTTTATAAAACTTAGGATGTGATAATAGAATTGCTCGATTCACTAGACCGTACAGTACCGATCTTATGACACAGAGAGTGATTAAACAAAAAAGAAAGATATTTGCTCGAATACGTTTTTTTTTTAAACCAATCTACAGTTATCACACAATTTTCCACTTTAAATAAACAAGTCCAAAAAATTTATACTATGGTTTTCTTCATATTTAATAATGAATTGTAACCTTTTGTGTATACTATTGAAGGTTTGATAGATAGACGAAATATGATCGGTGGAAACCGCCATAATTATGTCATCCACGTATTTTTTAATTGTTAAAGATAGTTTTTAAGTCACAAACTGTAATTTATTTATAACACCAATTTGACGATAATTTATTCTATTTAGTTTATCTACTAATATTATTAAGGACATTTATATGATCTGACATCAAGTTACATCATTAATACGACTGAAATTTATTCTTTTATTCATATTGATTACCTTTTCTCGCTATTAACTGATGAATTGTTTCGGAATCATGACTCTTCACTACATCGTTTATTATTTATCAAGTTTGATTACATATGATATGTGTGGTTACGATATACCATCCTTTGTAACGAAGGGGAGATGATTCTTAGAAATCTGTTATATCATCTGTTGTAACTCGTATGTGAGATGATCATCATGATATGTTAATATAATTAAATGTTTGGGTATTTATATATTTCTGCGGTTGATAAGGCTATGTATAGTCGAAACGTACCGTTGAAACTTATCATCGGAAAATTATAATTTGTGATTAATAAATATTATTTGGTACACCTAACTATAGCTCGTTTAATGTATTGACCTGGGTTTTACTATTTATTAATTTATTGTAAGTTATATGAGTGAGAAGAATTGATATTATTTATATTGTAATAAAAAATTTGTTATGCACAAGAAGAAATTAGACAAGGAATTATTAATAGATGAAATGTTATCGAAACAATTTGATAGTTTAACATATACTTATTAGGCATAGAAACGTTTACTTACATTGAAATTACTTACATTGAAAAGTCTTCACAAAAGAAGTTCAATTTGCTGTTTTTGAGATTATTTCTCCGAACGGCATCAAATCATTATTTCTAAAATTAATAACATGTTCATAATTATAGTGCCCCAAAACAGAAATTTCAAGTCTTGTGGTACTATTGCAAACACTTTATTTGGTGTATTTTTGGTTATATTGCCACAGAAAGAGACAAAACACGTCTTATATGTTTTAATCGTTGCCATTCCTATTAAAACATTGAGATACCAATAGATACCATATACGGCATGTAACATTGCGATGTCACAGACTGCTTGGATAATTTCGGGCATAATCGACGTGTCGTCGACTTGAGTTTGAAATAATATTTTATAAAACCTAAATTATTACGAAAAAAACAAATAAAAAAGGTCTTTTTTTCTATTAAACGTGCCTATAAACTTGTTATTAAAAAAAAAGTTACATTTAAAAATCCAATGGATATAATATTTGCCTCGTGATGTTAGACCGAAAAAATTATCGAATTTTGCAAGAAATAACTTTATATTTGACCTTTCATTAATATTTAATCTACTAATTTCAACAAATCGAATGAAATATCCCTCTCGTTTCTGTTTCAGCTGTATCGTCATACATACCTGGCGCATTACAGGATCGTGAACCTAAAGACTCTGTAAGTAAACGAGCCGTGTCTTGAAGGCGTTTGTAACAATCATATCTTAAATTTATTCCGTGATTTCAAGTTCGGATTTGCATTTTAATCTCGGCCCTGAGAAGGAAGAGGATGGGAATCGGGGGAAAAGCCGCACCATGCCGCGTGCAAATTACAAACTGTGCACGAATTTAATCCTGCGCCGTCTTACCGTCATCACCTTGCCCGCCTCTCCAACCTCGTTCCACGTCTGAGAACTTTCCTTCGCGGATTTGATCATTAACTCAGCATTTAGGAGTGGTTATATTACGATTACGAATCTGCCGCCGTTCCCGACCGTCGTGATGATTTTACTCTTTGTACTTGTCCTTTCCCGCAGGCGAGAAAAATTTAAAGCTGTTTTCCAAGGCCTGAACTTATCCGCATGGCTGCATTTCGTGATATTGAGACTTGCTGGCCTTGCAAAGACAGGATAAATCGTGGCTTATCTTTTCAAGGATTTTCCTTTTTTTTTTTAATTCCTAGCTATCTCAATATTCTCATGCTTATGCTAAGAATTACGTTTCTTCTATTGTTTTGGAATAAATACCTTAATAATAAATATCCCGTTTTGATGAATCGTTAGTATATCATTCTCCGACTCAAATATTAATTAAAGCCATAAAGAAATTAATATCAGCAATCCATTTAGTATCCCTCTTATTAAATTTATTTGTACATTTCGCTTGTTCATCATATGTAACTGTTTATACATATATTTACTTACTTGTTAGCTCGATGTGCATGTATCAACATTAATATAAATATTAATACTGTTTTCTATATTTATTTTTGCTATTTATTTATGAGTAAATATATAAATGTGTTCTTAATTCTCTAATACTTAACGTATATAAAGAGATATATATCTATATGTAAAAATACGTAAGATATATAAATATCTCTTTAAGCGATTAAAAATTGTTTATCTTTATAATTAAGAATTTAGCACAATAATTGAAGATAAAATCCGCGATGTATTATGAGTTATGATACTTTTATAGAGAAGGGAACAATTTTTTTATATATTAGTCAAACTTCTCCCAGAGTTTAAATCATTCGAAAAAGTAGGTCGCCTGTAAAACTCGCAAAATTTCAAAGACCAATTTCTCACTATCGCGCGAAACCGCAAAGACTTTCTCAAGATTCGCGGGAATAGCATCGTCTTTAGGAATAGCGGTTTCCTGTCGTTCACACTCCTCCGAAGGAACCGATGTGCCTTGAGGTTTATCCACGTGGAACTATGAGACTGCTGGAACTCGTTCTACAATCATGAGAGCGCGAAATTTCTCTGTTATGTATATGTGGATGCGGTCCCCAACGGGCAAATCTCACGATTTGGACTTTACCATTGCGCTTGAGATCATCGTTCTCAAACAGTCACGCAAATCAAACTTCAGTCCGTTTCTAAACGTGATTTGTAAAAGCCGCTTGTCATCTTTATACGAGTATGTACATATGTAGAGCGACTGTTTCACAGTTTAAGTGCTATAAGGAGCGGATACTCATGCTCTTTGCTGTGTTCGAGTTTCAAATTGGCTTTCGGGAAAAGACGAGTTTTAAGATAAAAATCATATATAAATAAAATATTGCAGGATTATTTTGAAAGTAGGATTTCAATTGTGACGTGATTTTATATAGAGAAAACTCATATATGAGTTGCGCCTTTAAAGGATAATTATTTAATTGATAAATTTTATAAATTTCTATTAATTTGATATATATTTATTTCTTAAAAAAAACACACAAGACGATTGCAAGCGTTACAGAATACAAGAGACACTGCAGATATACTCGTATAATTGTATGCAATCGATAACAATTAATGTTATTTTGTGAATGTTTCGCTTATTTACTACAATAACAACACAACATAAAAAATAATGTTTTCTAGGAGAAACGTTTGGAATATTTTGAATTATTAAAATTTTAATATTAATTTTAATTTTAAATTATTTTAAATTGCAATTTTGGTGTAATAACTGATTATAGAAGAAATAACAATAAATGAAAGGCAAAGTAACAATTCAGCGCATTCCTTTAAAAAGTCATATAATTAAAGGCATAAATTAAAAGTACAGAAAAGATAAAAAAAGGAAGAAAAGATATATACTAAGAAATAATAACGATGAAAAAATAAACATATAACATTACAAGTTTCGGCTACCGATTGAGCCCTCTTCAGATGTTAAAATATAATGGAAACAGAATTAAAAAATAATTATCGCAAATGTTCACAAATTAATACACGCAGTTCGGTTGAGTCTCGATGTAGAACTCGACATTATTTACACGATTGAACAGTCAAAAATATGTCATATCTCTTAGAAAAGTTCTAGTTGATAAAAAAGAAAAAAAGAAAAAGACCTCTTATAAAAAAAGTAAACTTAAATAAATTAACAACCGTAATTATGATAAAAAATAAACACTCACCAACAAACATATGTAAAAGATCAAAACTAATGTATCCATATAAGTATAACAAATAACAATAAAAATAGAAGAATGAAATGCAGGCATGAAAAAACAAACATTGTGTGTCGACTAATATTCGCGCTCGCTGAAACGAATCACCACGTACTGAGAGAGGAGACGGGCCGTCAGTATCAAAAAAGTTAAACTTTATTTACAATGGGTAAATATGCCTTATGAAGACCTTCAGTGTCCGTTTATAAATTAAGACTGTTTTTCTGCTTCTTGAGCATTTCGGAAATTAAACGTTTTCTATAACAAGGCTCTTCATCTAAGATTTTAATGTTGTCCCATTGGAACACATTGTAGCCTATGTTCAGTGATGATAGAACGGACAGAAATTTTATGCTTGATATGATTACGATGTTCAGTAATTCTGGTTTTCAATTGTCTGTCCGTCTGTCCAACATAAGACGCATCGCAATTGTTACACGATATTTTATATACTACATTGCTCTTCGATGTATGAGGATAAATGTCCTTCTGTACTTTTATGTATTTATCCATTTTGTTGGGACTATGAAAAGATACCCTAATGTCGTTTTTATTAAATCTTCTAAATTTCTCCGTGACGAGGAATATAGAGAACCGTAAGCCAAGAAGCAGTTTCATTCACACAGACTTGTCAGTCAGATCATTATATACTTTATATCTATTTTTAATTAAATTTTTAATACGTTGATTAACAGTGTCAAAAATAAAATTCAATGGATAGTCATTATCTAGTAAAATATTAATAATAAAAGTCAGATTTTTTGTATAAAACATATATGGTATAACGTCAGATAATAAAAAAGCTCTGTCAACTAACGAAAAAATTATGCCTTTTTTCTGTGATAAAGGATGATTAGAATAAAAATTTAAAAACCTTCCTGAAAAAGTCGGCTTACGGTACCAATCAAAAATAAAATTACGATTATTGTTGATGGATATGGTGATGTCAAGAAAATTTATTTTATTTCCCCCTCTTTTAACAGTAAAGGCGCGGATGGAAAGAATTGAATTGTTCTAATAAAACGTCGATTTTAGAGGGAGGTACCGCGGTACATATATCATCAACATATCTATAATAAAACAAAATGTCCAAATTCAACGACATCAAGGACATCGTCTCCAATCTCCTCATTATTAAATCCGCTATTACCGGTGATAAAGGAGAGCCCATGGGATGTCGAATCTTTGCTTATAAATTAAATCGTCAAAAGAAAAAAAGGTTGAATCTAAGACAAACCGTATTGCTCCCAAAAACTCATTCTTGGGCAGAGAGCAATCCTTGGAAATGAAATTCGATTGCTCGTTCACACAATCGACCGCTACATTCATTGGAACATTCGTGAAAAGGGAGGTTACATCTAAAGAAATTAGTTCATGTGCACCTGTAAAGTGTAACCTTCTCAATTTTTCGACTAATTCGAAGCTGTTTTTGATGTAACTATCCGCTTTCGGAATAGTCTTAAATAGTCTATTATGCAAAAAAGTATCCAATGAATACAGCGGACTGCTCACCGATGATACGATAATTCTGAGAGGACAATCAGGCTTGTGAATCTTCGGCAATAGCGTTAACAACTGATATTAAGTTCCGTATGTTCATGTTGAACAAAAAATTCTCATGTCTTAAATTATCTATGATAAAAAGGATTTTACGCATGGAATTGAGTGACTCTCACAAAGAAATTGACCGTTATAGAGTTACTTTTTCATATAGTGAGCAGCCTTTCCGTTTGTCTTTCGACTCATATCTGCGACGATTTCCTTTATATGCAAGTGAAATCGTAAGCTATTATTGGGATCGCGCCTATACAATATAGTTTTGATTCTTTTCGTGAACCGTTTATTTCAACATCGGGTAATACTTCCGTTTTCTCAATGCGTAACTCTCTTGAGGATCCTGCTTTGTACGTTGCTGATCCTTCTTCCTTTTTACATAATAGTTTTCCTAGTCCCGTCATTTCCATACATCCTAACACTTTTCCTTTACAGAGGTCATCGTCCTTAACTACTGTCAGAGACGATTGGTTTTTAAATTTATCTTCGTGTGAAATTCCTGGCAACGTACAATGCTTTTTACAATTGGGAGATAATTTTGCGCTCCCTTTTAACAATAAAAACAAGATTATCTTTGATTGCATTAAGGGGGTTGAGAGCAGCACATTGAGAATGCCTTTAGATAGGAGAATTGAAATAACTAATCAGTCTATTCCAATCCTGAATAATATCATCTCTTCTCCTATTTTTACATCACCCACAGATAAACAATTGTCAAAGTTAGAGTTCGACACGCGTACATTTGTATTGGCGCATCCCAACATTGTTTTTACGCGTGCTGACAAAGGCAACGTCACTGTTGCTGTGGACAGGGACACATATAGGAACAAAATGACCACATTATTCGGGAACTTAGACACGTACGTTTTGATTAAGAAAGATCCGACTAAAAAACTTACGACAGCTTTAAGGTCTATGCTTACTGATGGAAAACTAAAGATCATATCAAAGACTCTGATTAC